GACCTGCACACGACCTGACCTTGCATACCCTCTGAGCATTCTTGCACGCTATGTTGCTCCTGGGAGACACAGACCAGAGCACATGGCTGCAGCGAAGAGGGTATTGCGCTACCTGTGCAGTACGTCGGGCATGGGGCTAGTGCTTGGAGGGCGGAGTCCAGTGGTCCTTACCGGCCACGCGGACGCTTCTTGGGCTGACGACCAGGCTACGCAGCGGTCGTCACAGGGTTACACCTTCAGCCTTGGTTCCGGCTCTGTCTCGTGGCGGTCTACTCGCTCGTCTTCGGTTCTCGGCTCCAGTTGCGAGGCTGAGATCTACGCCGGGGCCATGGCTGCACAGGAGCTTCGCTGGCTCACCTACCTGCTGACTGACCTTGGAGAGCCACCTCGTTCTCCTCCAGTGCTGTACGTAGACAACAAGGCCATGCTGGCCTTGTGTCGAGAGCAGCGCTTGGAGCACAGAACGAAGCACATTGCTCTCCGCTACTTCCTTGCTCGTGAGCTGCAGCAGCGTGGTCAGTTGCGACTTGCGTACGTGGCCTCTAAGGCCAACACTGCTGATGTGTTCACCAAGGCACTCGCGCCTTGTGACCATCAGCGCTTTTGCACCCAGCTGGGTCTTGTGCCTGTCTTGCCTCACTTGCTCTCCTCTTGACTTCACTTGTACTGTGACATATATATATACCTGCTCTTGCTTGTCTAGTTTTATATATATGTCTGTACTCCTGCATGTGAACTGGCCTCTGGCCCTGCTCTTGTGCTCGGACTGTGTGGTGACTTTGTGATCCACCCTGAGCTTGCTTTGCTTTGCTTGACTGGTCTTGTGACCCCTTGTTCTCCCCCACTTTGCCTATGGGGGTGTGTCAAACATTAAATATGTTCTGCTTGTGTAGGCTACAGTGGGTTAGCCTATACGGGGTACACAATTCTAGGGTTTCCTACTTGTACTCATTTCACTGCTAGTTCATTCATTCCTGTTCGCTTATTCTCACATGGTCCTACTGGAGGTCTTGCTGAGCGTCGTGAGCCTGTGTCTCGCCCTGCGTCACCTGTCCGTGCTGCTCGCACTAGTGGTCGCGGTTCGCGTCAGCGTCCTCCTCCTGTCCCTGGCACGCACCGGATGTCTCTACGTCCGTCCACTGCTCCTCTGCGTGCCCCTTTGCCTTCTCCTCCTACTTCCTCTCTTCCTGCTCTTGCCGACCTGGAGTCGGACTCTCTTCGTGCTACCAGTCCTACTGTCACGCGTCTCCTTGCTAGTGTTGTCACTGACCCTTCCTTTGAGTCCACTGCTGCGTCTGCCCTAGTTGCTGAGCTCGTCGACTTTGCTACTCGATGTCGCCTAGACTACGCCGCCAGTCTTGTTGCTGAGTCTGAGTCTGTCTGTCCTCCGTCCGTCGGGGGTGAGTGTGCCCTTGGCACGGACGTCCTTGAGGACAGGCAGGAGGAGTTCCAGTGCTTGGCCGCTGCTTCACCTCATCTCGTGTCCGTACTGCTTACCCCTGAGGGAGACCCAGATGCACTTGACATCCCGACTCCACGCTCTTACGCGGAGGCGATAGAGGGTCCCTACTCCTCTCAGTGGCAGGCAGCTATGGACGCAGAGATGGCTTCTTGGAAGTCCACAAGCACCTACGTTGACACTGTTCCCCCTCCAGGGGCGAACATCATCAGTGGTATGTGGATTTTCAGGGTGAAGCGACCGCCGGGTTCTCCGCCTGTCTTCAAGGCGCGTTACGTGGCTCGTGGCTTCAGTCAGCGGCAGGGAGTTGACTACTTTCAGACCTTCTCTCCCACCCCGAAGATGACCACTCTTCGGGTACTGCTGCACATAGCTGCTCACCGTGACTACGAGCTATACTCTCTTGACTTCAGCACTGCTTTCTTGCAGGGCAGCCTGCACGAGGAGATCTGGCTGCGTCGCCCACCTGGCTTCACTGGGTCTTTTCCTCCTGGCACCCAGTGGAGCCTCCGGTGGCGAGTCTACGGTCTCCGCCAGGCACTGCGTGAGTGGCACGACACACTGAGGACTACACTTGCGGCTCTTTGGTTTGCTCCCTCTACTGCCGACCGGTTGCTGTTTCTGCGCACTGACACTTCTTTGCCGCCGTTCTACATCCTCGTGTACGTCGACGACTTGGTCTTTGCCACTGCTGACACCGCTGGACTCGCCCACGTGAAGTCCGAGCTGCAGAAGAGACACACGTGCACTGACCTGGGTGAACTGCGCAGCTACCTTGCCTTGCAGATTACTCGGGACAGAGCATGCCGCACCATTACCCTGACTCAGTCACACATGGTGCACCAGGTCCTTCAGCGCTTCGGCTTCACGTACTCCTCGCCTCAGGCCACTCCTCTGCCTACTCGCCACTCGCTCTTAGCTCTGCCTTCGGATGAGTGCGTAGACTCGAGTGGCCCGTACCCAGAGCTTGTTAGCTGCCTCATGTACTTGATGACCTGCACACGACCTGACCTTGCATACCCTCTTAGCATTCTCGCACGCTATGTTGCTCCTGGGAGACACAGACCGGAGCACATGGCTGCAGCGAAGAGGGTGTTGCGCTACTTGTGCAGTACGTCGGGCATGGGGCTTGTGCTTGGAGGGCAGAGTCCAGTGGTCCTTACTGGGCACGCAGACGCTTCTTGGGCTTACGACCAGGCTACGCAGCGGTCGTCACAGGGTTACACCTTCAGCCTTGGTTCCGGCTCTGTTTTGTGGCGGGCTACTCGCTCGTCTTCTGTTCTCGGCTCCAGTTGTGAGGCTGAGATCTACGCAGGAGCCATGGCTGCACAGGAGCTTCGCTGGCACACCTACCTGCCGACTGGCCTCGGAGAGCCGCCTTGTTCTCCTCCAGTGCTGTACGTAGACAACAAGGCCATGCTGGCCTTGTATCGGGAGCAGCGACTGGAGCACAGAACGAAGCACATTGCTCTCCGCTACTTTCTTGCTCGTGAGCTGCAGCAGCGTGGTCAGCTGCGTCTTGCGTACGTGGCCTCTGAGGCCAACACTGCTGATATCTTCACCAAGGCGCTTGCGCCTTGTGACCATCAGCGCTTCTGTACTCAGCTGGGCCTTGTGCCTACCTTGCCTCACTTGCTCACCTCTTGACCTTGCTTGTACTGTTACATATATATATATATACCTGCTCTTGCTTGTCTAGCCTTTTTATATATATGCACTCCTGCATGTGAACTGGCCTTGTGGCCTTGAACTTGTGCTCGGAATGTGTGGTGACTTTGTGATCCACACTGAGCTTGCTTTGCTTTGCTTTGCTTGACTGGTCTTGTGCCCCCCTTGTTCTCCCCCACTTTGCCTATGGGGGTGTGTCAGAACATTATAGCTCATGTATATTGTGTAGGCTATAGTGGGTTAGCCCATAAGGGGTACAACCCAATTAGGGTTAGTACTTGTACCCAATTCATTCGTAGTTCATTCATTCTCGTTTCTTCTCAGCACCCTGTGTGATTAGTGTTTTTTTTTTACTAACCCTGAAAAAGCAGTGTTTCTAAGCAGGCAACACTGAAGATCAGTGTTACACCTCCAAGGGACCCTGAGTGCTCAGGGTACCCTAAAACGAATCTGAGGCCCTGGTCTGACTTCACTTCAAGATTGTTGATCATTGCCGCAAAACCGAGAATACGAGGATAACGTGACTGCCCACTGGAATCTGCCACGTGGCAAATTCCAGTGGGCAATTCGCCAGCGTGGTGACAGCGAGATTGTGGGAGGGGGGAAATCTCGGCAAATTCTACGGTAAGTGAAAGTACACGCGAAATTTCATCTAGGGAGCAAGTCTCGCGATATCCATTTGTAAGGAATCAGACTCAATATCAGCTATACAGGAATCTATAAGAAAAGGGGGTGTATAGTACTAACGGGGTCGGATATAACACCCACCTCGTATTAGCTACCCAGGGGTGTACAATTACGGGGGGGTGTTTTATCCGGGAGAATAAGGTAACCCTAACTTCGGGTTGTACCCTATATGGGCTACCCCCACTATAGCCTACACAGAACTAACACATATATAGTTTGACATCTTGCTCTCTTTCAACTACCATTATCAACAAGGTCACTACTAAGACTTCATTGTCTTCTCTTGACTTAGCAGACTTATCATATCCACTTCGATCCAAGTTTCATCAACAAAACAGACCCGGGAGTCGTATGTGATGGGGGGTCCTATATCCGGGAGATTAGGGGTATACCCCCAGGCCTATGTTACACCCATGCGGTTATAATCGTACTAGTGGGCTTATAGCCAGTTGCCGATTATAAGCCCACCCGAATTTCTGTCAATCTTTGTATAAGCGCACCCAATGAATTCTGCTTTTTTTTTTAGCGAAATCGCCACTAACGCACCTAAACGAATCGTCACAGACGTGCATGACGAATTCCCCCCTGGCTCGCTTGGCAAAATTTCCACAGGAGGTGCACGTGCGCGAAATCTGCAACATTTGACTAGTGCTGACTGGGATTCTTGACTGTACGACACATTCTCGGAACTTTTCAGCATGGAACCTCTTTGTGTTAGCATCGATTTAAATCGCCAGGGTGAAATCCACATTCCAGTGTTATAAAATTAAATTTCCATAAGTGTCATTTATTTAGCCCATGGGGTTATAAAATTTACCACATTATAAGCCCACCCACCAATTTTCCATGTTTTTTTACACCCCCACCTGGGGGTATATCCGGGTGAATACGGTATGACGGATTCAAGTCAATGCTCCTAGAGTGTGGGACAATCTGTAGATTGTCGAATCAGTTTCAGTTTCGTTCATTCAAGTCATTCATTACCACGGTCGCTAGAAAGCCTCTCGGGGCGGGGTCGCGAAGGGTGGTAGTCAGACCAAACTGGTGGAACCTGTTTTTTGCAATTTCAAGTTCATGAATATTTAACTTGAAATCCAACCACCCTACCCTGTGCTTGTGCTTTCAAGTTACAACTCCATTGCAAGACCCCTCTATCACCTGCCTCAACACTGTCCCTCCCACACAGCTAAGGACCCATGACATCGAAGCGAGCAGCGAGTGCAAGCTCCTCGGATCGCTGCACCACGAAGTGCAGCTTGGCCACGACCTCCAGCAGCAGCGCCGCCACCTTGACAAGCGACAGCGCTGCGATGCGCTCCACCGTGCGGTCCCACGCGCCGCCCATCGACGCCTGCCGCTGCAGCAGCTCCTGCCGCCACTCCGCCACCGACGGCTTCTTCCGCCCCATGCCGCCCACACTCCCCGTGCCGCCCACACTCCCAGTGCCGCCCACACTCCCCGTGCCGCCCACACTCCCCATGCCGCCCACACTCCCCGTGCCGCCCACACCGCCCGTGCCGCCCGCCGATCCTCCTGCGTCGCCCGAGCCTCCGGCACCAGCCGGTCCCCATGTGGCAGCATAGCCGGCCAGCCCCTCCGCGAGAGACATTTCTGACGGCGTCAGTGCGCCCATCATTCCCACCGCTGCTGCCGCCGCTGTGGTGAGTGGTGGTGCATGCGGGTCAGGTGCGGCGGTGGTGGGGGAGGGCGAGAGGCCGTGCGGGTGGCGGGGGGAGAGGCAGAGGGGACTGCCTGGGCGGGACAGCCTGGATGAGTGGAGGAAAACAGGGAAGTGGAGAGAAAATAGTGGGGATTCAGGCAGTGGTGGAAGAGGGAAGAACGAATGAAAATTCTCACAACACTTTCCTCTTGAAGGTTGTCACAATTGTATCGCACTCCCCTTATGCCCGCACTCCCCTCATGCCCGCATGCCTCACCTCTGTGCTCTGGGCGAAGCGGATTCCACCACCCCTTTCTGCCGTTTCCCCTCCTCTCCCTCGCCATTGCCCACCTCCTCCCCACCCATATCAATGCAGCTCTTCACCACCGCCTCCCCATCCTCCGCCCATCCCCCATCCTCGCCCCCCTCGCCCCCCTCGTCCCCCCCATGCACCACCAGTCTGTCAAACGCGACCTCGTCCCCCCCAGCGCCCCCACCCCCCCCAACGCTCCCCCCTCCGGCCTCGGAGAGGCGGGAGAGCGCAAAGGGGCGGTGGGCGAGGGAGGGCGGCGGCAGCATGAGGATGAGGCTGATGTGCTTCGACAGCCGGTGCTGCAGCTTCATGGCAGCTTCCTCCGCACGGAACAGCGAGTCGGGCGGCCCCGCCCACGAGAAGGAGCGCACGGACTGTGCCAGGTAGGCCAGCGTGCTGGGGGGCGGGATGGGGGGACGCAGGACGAGGGGTGGGACAGCGTGGGGAGCAGAGGAGGGTCGGGCGATGGCAGTCATCTCACCTGCTGCACTCGTGGGCGATGGCAGTCATCTCACCTGCTGCACTCGTGGGCGATGGCAGTCATCTCACCTGCTGCACTCGTGGGCGATGGCAGTAATCTCACCTGCTGCACTCGTGGGCGATGGCAGTCATCTCACCTGCTGCACTCGTGGGCGATGGCAGTCATCTCACCTGCTGCACTCGTGGGCGATGGCAGTCATCTCACCTGCTGCACTCGTGGGCAATGGCAGTCATCTCACCTGCTGCACTCGTGGGCGATGGCAGTCATCTCACCTGCTGCACTCGTGGGCGATGGCAGTCATCTCACCTGCTGCACTCGTGGGCGATGGCAGTCATCTCACCTGCTGCACTCGTGGGCGATGGCAGTCATCTCACCTGCTGCACTCGTGGGCGATGGCAGTCATCTCACCTGCTGCACTCGTGGGCGATGGCAGTCATCTCACCTGCTGTACTCGTGGGCGATGGCAGTCATCTCACCTGCTGCACTCGTGGGCGATGGCAGTCATCTCGCGCCCCACCAGCCGTCGCAGCACCAGCGGCGCCTGGATCTCCGCCCGCAGACTGGAGTCCAGCGCGATGACGTCATACACCAGGCAGCGCAGGGTATCGCTGACGCCATCGTAGAGCTGCCATGGATAGCCCGCGAAGAAGCGCCCATGCGGCGGCTCGAAGAGGAGTGCTGCCAGCTGGGAGGAGGGGGAGGGGGGAAAGGGGTGTTTGCTTGGTATGTGGCAGGATTGGGGTGAATCGAGGAAGGTGTCACGAGGTGGGTCAACAGGGATGACAGTTTGACACAAGGGAAGTGGGGGTGGTAAAGATGGGTGAAGCAAGGGTCGGGAAAGCAGGGGTGGGAGAAAGGGTGTGGGAAGCAAGGGTGTGGGAAGCAAGGGTGTGGGAAGCAAGGGTGTGGGAAGCAAGGGTGTGGGAAGCAAGGGTGTGGGAAGCAAGGGTGTGGGAAGCAAGGGTGTGGGAAGCAAGGGTGTGGGAAGCAAGGGTGTGGGAAGCAAGGGTGTGGGAAGGAAGGGTGGGATGCAGCACAGCGTGGCTTGCGGAGGGGGGGAAGGCGAGCGGCACTGACGTGTTTGTCGACCTCAGCATCGCTCATGACTATGGCATGGTACATCTCGCGCAGCTTGTCCCCCCCACTGCCGTCCCCCACGCCTCCTTGCGCGCCCGTCCCGCCCGCCACCCCTGTGCGCATGCTCCACAGCGTGGGCACGTGCCGCCACACCGTGCCGCGCTCGTACTCCTCCACACACCTGCCAACCGCACCGTGGCACGGAATAAGAGGGATCAGCCTTGTGTGACTCACAGCCATGCTGCGACGGATGAGCAGTCGAAGTAGAGAGAAACGGCGAATGAGAAGGCTGTGTGCATCATGGTGGAGGGCCCACCACTGTTGCATCATGGTGGAGGGCCCACCACTGTTGCATCATGGTGGAGGGCCCACCACTGTTGCATCATGGTGGAGGGCCCACCACTGTTGCATCATGGTGGAGGGCCCACCACTGTTGCACCTCAACATGATTGCTCCGCTTGTCCTCCTCTCGCAGAGTGCCACGGTTCACCACTGCCCTCCCATGTGTTCGTCTGTGCAGCCTCCACCCACTCTCCAACATGTCTCCGCCTTGCTTAGAATTGAGACTGAAGCTTGATTAAGAGAACCAAGCATCCCTTACTTGAAGCCCAACACAATAAATCCTTTCCTGTTCATCAGCTGAACAGGAAAGACATCACGACTGCTGCAGCCTTGCTGCTCCATTCACCAAGGTCATCGAATAGACGTGTTTATGGTGACTCTAGCCCTTTAAATTTGGGGCCGTCATGCCCACCATTCAGACTAAGGTTTTCCCACAAGCATCATCCTTGTGAGAGAAATATTCGCACCAGGAGAGCAGAGTGGCGGCGGATTCGAAGTTTTTGGAGAGCAGTGCGTGCAGCGTGTCCCCGGCGTAGGCGGGGAAGAGAGCGAGGTTGATGAGCGCCGCGATGAGGAAGCCCAGCAGAATCATGGAGAAGCGCGCGAGCGGCAGGAGCAGCTTCTCGGGGTTGCGGTACGTGGAGAGCAGCAGGATGTGGAAGGTGAGCATCATTATCGTCATCGCGTACGTCCACCTGTGCGGGGCGGGGGGGGAGAGGGAGAGGGGGGGGGGGGTTGAAGAGGGGATGATGCATGGAACGGAAGGGTGGGTGGGGAAAGGGAGAGTGGGAAAGAGGGGATGGTACGTGGAGAGCAGCAGTATGTGGAAGGTGAGCATCATTATTGTCACTGCGTACGTCCACCTGTGTGGGATGGAAAGAGGAGTGGGGGTGGGAAAGGGGGAGAGAGGGGGGGGAGTGAATGGGGTGGTAGTAAGGGAGACGGATGGGGTAGCGGGGAAGCTAAGAGGAGATGGACGGGGCGAGTGGAGTGCATATGAGAGGCGGAGCAGCTGAGGCGGGGGGTAAGGCATGGCAGGGATGCACTGGTGCAGGGGCGGAGCAGCGGGAGTGGGGCTGACGGATCGGCAGAAGGGCGGGAGGGAGAGGGCGTTGGGGAGGCAGATACAGCGGGGGTTCGAGAAATGACAGGGCATGAGAGAGCGGGCGCGGTGAGGAGAAGAGAAAGGGGAGGGACGGGTGGGAGGGGTGGAAGGGGTGGGAGGGAAGAGTAGTGTGTGAGTATGCATGGAGGTGAAGGTGTGAGTAGGCAGGGACGAGGAGGGTGTGGAAGGTGAGGTGCGTGTGTGCACATGGGAGAGGGGAATGGCGTGACACGCACACACGTGCGGACCTCCACAGCTGTTGCATGGGCATACTTGTGGGAGAGAAGGTCTGGAGGAGAAAGAGGTTGAGCAACACAAGGGAAGCACACAACACAACGCAACGCAGAGGTACTGCCCGCCCAGGTGGTCCACACGGGCACAAAGCACCGCCACGCGCACCGGCTGTGGGCTCCACCCACCTCCCCCTTTCTTCCCTACCAGCCTGCCAGGCCAGCCCCCCTTCACACCCCTTTCTTCTCCTTCCCACCCCTCCCAATCCCCCTCCAACCCACCCAAGAAACACCTGTCTTTGAAGGGGGGCCGGTTGCGGTAGTAGATGGGGAGGGCGGCGCTGAGGAAGACGAGCAGCAGCAGCACGGCCACGTGCAGCCCCCCCATGAGCGACACCACGTGCGTCACCGCCAGCGCTGCTGCCCCTGCCAGTAGCGTGCCCAGCACTCGGTTCACACCCTTGCTGCCACACGAGAGACGAGAGGGGAAGTGGGGACGGCACGGGCGGCAGGGGGGGGCAGGAGGGGGTAGGCATGGCACGGAGGAGATGTACGAGTTGAAGAAAACCAGCCCCTGTCTACTCAAGGTTGGTGAGTGAGGCAGGTCAAGATTGGTGAGTGAGGCAGGTCAAGGTTGGTGAGCGAGGCAGGTCAAGGTTGGTGAGCGAGGCAGGTCAAGGTTGGTGAGCGAGGCAGGTCAACCTCATGAGCAAGTTCCTCATCGGAGCAGCGGGCTCACCCGAGGGAGAGGCCGATGTTGGCTTCAAAGACGAGGTCGACGGTGACAACAGCCCACACGCCGATGGAGGCGAGCGATGGCAAGCGGCCGTCCACGTCCACCACGCACAGCGCCGCCGTGAGCGCCGCCGCCCCGCCGCCCTTGAGCGCCAGCAGCACCAGCTTGGGGTTCGCCCTCGCGTCGTCCAGCTGGCGGGTGAGTAAGGCGGCGGTGCAGGCAGGCAGGCGGAGGAGCGACGCGAGGAAGAGGTGGAATATGGTGACTGGATGGAGGGGTGGGAAGGAGGGTAGGGGGAGGGGAAGGAGGAGGAAGAAGGGCGTTGTTTGGTGGCAGCAGCGTACGTGTGGTGAGGCTCTGCTGAGCGTGAAGCAGTTGGTGGGGGATGAGGGGGGGCGGTGATGGTGGGGAAAGGCAAGCTAAGGCAAACTACGGAGGGTGGCGGAATAGTGGGAGGGGAAGGGAGGAGCGGTAGGGGGAAGTAGCGGAAGGGAAGAGGTGAAGAACAGGGGGGGTGATGAATGGCGTGGGCACCAACTCGACATCGTGCCACGTCACACACCACCCACGCCACGGCACGGCACAGCACGCCATATCACATGAAGCCATTGACATGTGAGTCAACACCATGGCTGCGTGCCACCACGCTGCCTTGCACCCACCCCATACAGCATTGCACCTGTGATCCCCCACCCCATCCATGCCCATGCTACCCAATCCCCCTACACTATCCCATGCCATCCCATGTCATCCCACGCCACACCATGCCATGTCCCATCCCGTCTTACCAATGCCATGCCAAACAGCATGCAACCAGCCCACGATGCTGCCCACTGCGCCTCTCGCCTCCTCCCCACCCGCGCTCCCTCTCGCCCCTTCTGCGCCCCCCTCGGTCCACTCGCTTTCCCCCCTCATGCTGTGGAACCTCGTGTCGTCCAAAGCCAGAGCGGTGGAGTGCGATGAGTCAGTGCTGAGTGCGGTGCTGTGCTGCCGGCCATAGTGGTACGACGATGTCGACCGCAGCAACGCCTGCCACCGTCGCTCCCGCGCACTGCTGCTCTCCCCCACCCCCCCTAACTCCCCCACCCCTCCCATTCCCCCCACCCCTCCCATTCCCCCCACCTCGCCCGTTGCCCGCCTACTGCCCTCCCCACCCGCTTCCCTCTGCTCGCCGCCCAACCCCCCACCACCCGCGCCCCGCACGGCGCGCCCTTCCGTGCTCGCGCACCCCTGGCTGCTGCTGCCGCGGCTGCTACCCGCATAATGCCCGCCCTCGGAAATCGCCCCATCCGCTTCTTTCCCCGCACTCGCTGGGGTCGCGTCGCCCACGTTGCCATGCTCGCCGTCGCTGTCGCTGTCGTCGTCCGCGATTCGCCAGAGTTTTTTTCGCACAGGGCCTTTCGGCGTTCCTGATTCGCCCTCGGCAATCTCCCCCTCCCTGCCTCCCGCCGCTGCACTCCCCACGCCCGCTCCGGATCCGCCATTCTCGCCGGCATCCACACTTGAGACCCCTACGACTTGCGCAATTTGTCCCTCTCCGCCTCCCCCTCCCCCTCCCCCTGCAGCCGATTCCGCCAGCGCCGCCAGCCCCAAGCCAGAGCCGCTATGATCCCCCCTGGCTGCGGCGATCAGCGCCGAAGGGAGAGCGGGCGCGCCTGCGACGCCCGCGACGCCGACGACGCCGCCGGCGACACCCGCGACGCCGGCCTGCACGAAGGGCGTGGAGTAGACGGCGCGCGGCGGCACGACGGCAACGGTGATGTGCTCCGCCGACGGCGACGCGGCGCTGCGCCCCGCCGCAGCGGGCAGCGCGGCGATCGCGTGAGACGCGGCGGGCGGAGAGGACGGCGCGTTGGGAAGCAGCGGCGCGGCGAGATCGTCGTCATTGCCGCGGTGCGGCATGGCGGAATGGCCGGGAGTGACGCGGTGGATTCGCGTTCTTGACTAGTAAATTTGTTTGCCTGATAAAGTGTGAGTCGTGATCCGTTCACTCGTAGTGACACAGTGTGGCTTGAAAGGTTGCCTCACTTCCAAGTGCTGGGATCATTTTTCGGCGGCAAAACACCCTCGAGCTTCGGTTACCAACTTGGCATCTCGCATCCAATCAGCAACAGGAAGCCGTAATCGGCATCTCCCGAGTTACTTTGTAGCACTGCTGTCAACTGTCGTTGAAATAGAAGCTTCTCTGATTTCTGCGGCAATCGCGATCACCTGGTAATCCAATCCGTTTCCAGCGTCAGAACCACGTTACCCTGTTACGCCGTCGTCGATGGACCCACAATTGCACCCACTCGGCACTACTTGTAGGCGAAGCCTTTCTGGATTTGCAGGTCGTTACCACGCTTGATGCTGTTTTGCGAACCTTATCCGTTTCCCCTCCCCACCCACAGAACCCACCAGCGCCGTCCACTTTCCTTGCTCTCATCCGCTTTCACCACTGCACCTGCTACTACGTGTCACGTAACTACACGTTCGTGGTCTCGCGACGCACAATCGTTGAAAGATCCGCGAGGTACGGCCGAATCTCACCATTTGCCTTGCGACTATCGCTCTCACGAGCATATCGCCCTCATACGCCTATCAATTCTCTCGGCCCTTTCACGTCGGCTTGGCCTTGATTCCGCCCATTCGCATCGCCGCTTCTGTCACGCGTGCTCATGTCCCGCTTGCCCCCCATGTCCCGCTTGCCCCCCATGCCCCGCTTGCCCCCCATGCCCCGCTTGCCCCCCATGCCCCGCTTGCCCCCCATGCCCCGCTTGCCCCCCATGCCCCACGCGCAGCACTCCTGATCACCTCAAGCGTGTCCGTCGCCGCATCGGGCCGCACGAGCCTCTTGCAAGGCGGAAGGCGAGGGGCGGAGAGACGCAGGTGGGCGCGAGCGGGTGCGCGCGGACGTGCGGGGAGGGCGGGGCGTGGTCGGTGAGTGAGGCGGCGACGGGGCAGCAGCGCAGCACTTTTTGAGGATTCTCAAGAGCGTGTGGGGCGGGCAGCAGGGCAGCAGAGCAGAGCAGCGCGGGTTGTGAGTGGAGTGGAGTGGGGAGAGGCATCGGCATGGCGGAGGCGGCAGACTACGTGGTGCCGGCCATCGCCATCACGGCCGCCACGGCGCTCACCTTCATTGCCGTCAGCTTCAACGAGCTGCGCGAGGTGCGCTCTGTGCTGCCATGCCGTGTGGCGGGATGAGTGTGGAGGCTGTGATGAGATGCGGCGTGGTGGGATGCGGTGTGGTGGGATGTGAAGCGGTGGATTGGTTGGTGCGGTGGGTTGGTGGGTGCGGTGGGGGGGGGGGGGGGGGGGGGGGGGGGGGGGATGCGGAGGGTTGGGGGGATGCGGAGGGTGGGGGGGATGCGGTAGGTGGGGGGGATGTGGAGGGTAAGGGGAGAGCGGCGGGTGGCATGGTCTGAGGGGTGTGGTGCCGTGAGGGGGCGGTGATGCCTGTTGTACCCTCAGCGGCCTCTGCTCCTACTTGTGCTCACCTCTGCACTGGCCCCTCTGCACTGGCCCCTCTGCACTGGCCCCTCTGCACTGGCCCCTGCGCCACAACCCCTGTGCCCCAACCCCTGTGCCCCAACCCCTGTGCCCCAACCCCTGTGCTCCAACCCCTGTGCCCCAACCCCTTTGCCCTCCCAACGCCTATGCCCCAACCCAACCCCTGCTGTCCCAATCGCGGCAAATCAGAAGTCGGCGGTGCAGCAGGAGTTGAAGCAGCAGGCGCGGCTGGTGGAGGAGCAGGAGGGCGTGGTGCTGCGCTCCAGCCTCTCCTCCAAGGAGAAGCGCCGCGCCAGGCAGGGCAAGAAGAAGGGCTCCTGAGCCACTATGCTGCTTGCTGTGCTGCGCGCCGCCGCCGAGTGAGTGTGGGCTCTGAGTGAGTGTGAGCTCTGAGTGAGTGTGAGCTCTGAGTGAGTGTGAGCTCTGAGTGAGTGTGGGCTCTGAGTGAGTGTGAGCTCTGAGTGAGTGTGGGCTCTGAGTGAGTGTGAGCTCTGAGTGAGTGTGAGCTCTGAGTGAGTGTGGGCTCTGAGTGAGTGTGGGCTCTGAGTGAGTGTAGGCTCTGAGTGAGTGTGGGCTCTGAGTGAGTGTGAGTGAGAGGGTGTTCCCAATGTGAGTGGTGGCTTTGCTAGTTCTCACATAGAACCATATGCGTCTGAAAACTCCAGTTTTCTCCTGCTGCTGCCGTGTGCCCGTGTAATGCATGGTTCCGTCAAACACCTTTGTCGTCCTTTCCCTGTCCACACGAGCTGCCCTCAAGCCCCTCACCACCACCACGATCACCATCCCCATCTCCATCACCACCATCCCCTTCACCATCACCATCACCATCACTATCACCATCACCATCACCATCACCATCACCATCTCCATCACCATCACCATCACCATCACCATCTCCATCACCAACCCCCGGCTGTGTGCCGTGCAGCTTATTGCTGTGCACTGCAGTGAAGCGGGGCTGGAGAAGACTCGATTCGCTTCGTTTGATCTACTTAGTAAACTCATCCACCTTGCCACTGTTATGGTGACTCTTCTGCCCGCCTCTATGGTCTCGTCTGAACGTTTCCTCCAATGCATCTCTGTCTACGTGCAAAACTGTCACCATCTGTTCAACTCGTTTTTGCCCCAGTAAGGTGGTGTGGTGGTGCTACAAACTGATAGTTGATAAGTTGTGCACTTGTGCTGTAACTTTCTTGGGGATAGTAATGACTGGAGTTGTATGTAATGGTGGAGTGGAAGCAGGCCCTCCGATGTATTTTGGGCATGGCTGGTCCATCAGTGCCGACGTTAGTAGGAAACGATGAAGAACCAGCGTCACCATGAATAAAGACCCTGATGACATTCATACCGGTAAGTGCTCTATTTTGTCATCGTCAGCAATGTACTGTCAAAATACGCGTACATGTATTTGCATGTGTTCTTGTAGGCTAGTCGGGTTGTGCTTTAGAGTGTTTGGGTTGCGACAATTCTTAACTGTATGCTCTCATTCTAGTCATTGGTTCACTAATTCACATGGTATCATGCTAGGTTGAGCCTTTAGGACCCGCGCTTCTGTCCGCCTCCCCTAGCTTACCCTAGTTGCGCCCCTCTAGTGGCACCCGTCGCACCCCTCCTAGCGCCCCACTTATCTGCCCCGTCGCGACCTTTTCATGGCTCTATCGCGCCCCACGCTAGCGCCCCGTGTGGCGGCCCCGTCACCCCACCCGCACCTGCCGACTCGCACCCGCCAGCACCTGTCGTGCCAACGCATGCTGCTGCTGCGCCTAGCGCCCGCGACAGCGCCGCTGCGCCTGCGCCCACACCTACCACATGCCGAGCCCACGTTGGCCGCGCCTGCCACCGCTGCTTGCGCCTGCTGCGCACGCCTTGCGCCTGCCACCACCTGCACCTGTCGCCGCCCGCGCCTGTGCCGCCGCTGCTTGCGCCTGCTGCCGCTGCTTACGCCTCCTGCGCACGCCTTGCGCCTACTGCGCACACGCCTGCGCGTGCCGCCGCCCACGCCTGACGCGACCGCGCCCACAGCTGTCCTTACCGTACCTCCACGCTCGCGCAAGCCTCGCCCGCGCTGCAATGCCCGCCCTATTGCACTCACACCAGCAAATGCTGCTGCTGCGCCTGTTGCTGTGAGCCTACCGCGCGCCTGCCTTGTGCCAGCTGCTACGCGCGGACTAGGCACCTTGCCTTCACACATGCCACGCCTCTAGCAGCACCTACCGCACTGTGCCTTAGGCTGCCGCATATCGCCACTCTTGAAGTCGTGAGTTAGGGTTTAGCCCCACCTTCTGCTCCGCCAGTGGCTGTCACATCACACTACTGCGGCTATGCGGCTGCTACTGTCATGGCGTCCGAGTTCGTCCTGCGACTCGATGCGGGGGTGCATGCGGTCGACTCTGACGTGTGGCTGCTCGACATCGAGCTCCACATGCGAAGCCACCTCCAGGGTGATGTCCCCATGTACGCCCACACGTTGGGTGAGCTACCTGCCCGCTGGCGTCCTACTATTCTTGATGTCGACGCCACCTCGGAGGAGCAAAAAGAGCGCGACGCTCAGCTTGCGAACACGCTTTGGGAGTTGAGGGACGATTTAAAGCGTTTTGCTATTAGTTGCCTCTTGCCGTTGGCCGAGCGGGTGCACGTTCATCAGGCCGAAGCAGCGAAGGAGTGCTTTGATACTATTGGTCGTTAATCCACCCCCTCCTTTGGTACTCTAGGGCGTCTCCTCATGCCTTTTGACTTTCCTGATCTCCTGCGTCCTCCGTTGTTGCTGACCTCGCTACACACCTGCGCCCTCTTAATGCAAGTAGCTGTGCTGCTCTCACCCCTACCCAGCTTGATAGACAGGCTCCCCCCATGTATCTCACCCTGTATCTCCTCGCAACCCGCCTCCTTGACCACCTTGCGCCTGCTCGTGTCGACCTCCCTGCCGTGCACCCCTATGATCTCACTGTCGATTTCCTTGAGACTAGTCTCACTAAGATCGAGACCTGCCTCCACACTGTTGCCTCCACAACTAGTGCAGTTGCCCCCCTCGTCCTCGAAGGTTGCGCTCCGCTCCAGCTCCCTACCTTTGCTGCCTCTACTGTTGTTTCAGAGCTTACTACTATAGCGGAGGTTGCAGCCATTGCTGCCCCCTGTGGGCGCAGATGGTGCAGGAGTGGTCGTAGTCGTAGAAGAGGTGGATGTGCTGTTTTTTCGGGGGGTGCTGATGAGGGGAGTCCTAGTCTTGGGGTGCAAGATTGACTCAGCACCAACAGCGGCAGCAGTAGCCACCACAGCAGTAGTTGCAGGAGCATTGAATCTAGCATGACGTCTCTCAACAGCAGTGCGGACCTGCTGGCTCAGGGAGTGTTGGTCGCGGTGGCGGTGATGTCAGCTAGGCGTTGCTTGGTACCCCACCTGGGCCCTGCCAGTACCAGTTTTCTAAGAAACTAGGCAGGAATGTGTTTGACTATCGAGAGGTTTTGGTACAAGAAGGAAACCTAATGGGTTGTACCCCACAGTATCTACCCTACTACAGCCTACCCAAAACTATAACATATGTATATGTTTGACACACCCCAATAGGCAAAGTGGGGGAGAGCAAGAGGTCACAAGACCAGTCAAGGAAAGCAAAACAAGCTCAGGGTGGATCACAGCGTCACTACACACACTGAGCACAAGCAAATGGCCACAAGGCCAGTTCACATGCAGAGGTATATATGCAACAAGAACAGTACAGTGATCTCTACCTAGCAAGAACAAGCATGCAGGTATATATATATATCTGTATATATAGATCACAGTACAAGCGGAAACGTAGGCACAAGGCCCAACAAAGTACAAAAGCGCTGATGGTCACCACACGGAAGTGCCTTGGTGAATATATCAGCAGTGTTGGCCCGAGTGGCCACGTGAGCAAGGCGAAGCTGACCCCGCTGCTGCAACTCTGAAGCCAGGAAGTAACGCAGAGCGATGTGCTGCGTTCTGTGCTCCAATCTGTGCTCCTGACACAAGGCAATGGCGGCCTTGTTGTCTACGTACAAAACTAGAGGAGAACGAGGCCGCTCTCCCAGGTCGGTTAGAAGGTAGGTGAGCCAGCGTAACTCCTGTGCAGCCATGGCTGTGGCGTAGATCTCAGCCTCACAACTAGAGCTGAGAACAGAAGACGAACGTGTAGACTGCCAAGAAACAAAGCCGGAGCCAAGGATGAAAATGTAACCCTGTGATGACCGCTGCGTAGCCTGGTCGTCAACCCAAGAAGGGTCTGAGTGCCCAGAGAGGACAACTGGACCCCACCCTCCAAGCACGAACCCCATGCCCGATGTACTGTACAAGTAGCGTAGTACCCTCTTAGCATCATCCATGTGCACCTTTCGGTGCCGACTAGTAGCCACGTAGCGAGCCAGAAGGCCAACAAGGTACGCAAGGTCAGGACGAGTGCAGGTCATCAGGTACATGAGGCAGCCCACTAGCTCTGGGTAAGTACCACTCAGCTCTACGGACTCGTCCGAAGGTGGAGCTGAGAGCGAGTGACCTGTAGCCAGAGGAGTGGCCTGTGCCGAGGACCAGGTGAAGCCGAAGCGCTGAAGGACCTGCTGCACCATGTGTGACTGAGTCAAGGTGATGGTGCGGCGTGCTCTGTCCCGGGTGATCTGCAAGCAAAGGTAACTGCGCAGCTCACCCAGGTCTATGCACGTGGGTCTCTTCTGCAGCTCCGACTTCACCAGGGCTAGAGCCCCAGTGTCAGCAGTGGCAAAGACCAACTCGTCGACGTACACGAGGATGTAGAACGGCGGGAGCGAAGTGTCGGTGCGCAGATACAGCGACAGGTCAGCAGTCGACGGAGTAAACCCAAGAGCTGCAAGTGTCGACCTCAGTGTGTCGTGACACCCCTCCCCCCGCCGCCGCTCTTCCTTGCGCCACGTCCCCCCCCGGTAGACCATCTCCCCCCTCAGGGTCCTGCCCCGTCAGGTGTGTCCCAGGTAGACGCAGTCGAGCCTGTCGAGGTAGCTATTGACTCTGGTGCTGCTAGGGGTGCTGAGCCTACGGGTGCGGGGTCTGGGGGTGCTGAGCCTGGGGGTGCTGCATCTGGGGGTTTTCAGCCTGGGTGTGCCTAGTCTGGGGGTGCGGAGCCTGGGGGTGCGGAGCCTTGGGGTGCGGAGCCTTGGGGTGCGGAGCCTGGGGGTTCTAGGCCTGGGGGTCCTTCGGGTACTTCGTCTCGGCGGGAGCTACTCTCTCCACATGAGCTGCGTGAGTGGTTTGCCAGGCGCTGGAGTCGTGCTGCTGGAGCTGGAGGTGCTGTAGTTGCTGGTGACCCTGCGGTCGGCGCTGGAGGTGCTGGA